ATCTAGACGAAAACGAACGATGACTGATATTCTAAGGACTTGGATTGTTTCTTCGATTAAATGCATCTCTAGTTTAAAGTCGCCTGTACAATCAAAGGTCAAAGGTTTTCCGTCCTTTTCATAGTTTGAATACCCCCATCCATTCGCAACAGATTTGAAATGCACACACATTATTTTCGCTATATTAAGTCCTAAAGTTTCTCAAAAAGAGTCAGGAATTTATTTTGCAGTTTGCGGCATGCGTTCTTGTTTATTTATGCTAGAAGCTAGAACGCCAACTGAGTTCAGGGCATATAATATTTGGGCAGTCCCTATAACTTGGCTTTACTTTAGCTTATGATGCATTAACACAGATACATAGACTCTCATTTGAGGCCAAGTACACCAACTTACTAAAACATGTCTGCGTGATTCATGTATTGCAGATATATTGTTTTTGTGGCGTGCATACAATTTGACCAGGCAAATAAACTAAATTGCCCAGCTACAAATTTATTGCTACTGCAATGAATCCGGTATCTGCGTGCTCAATATTTTGAAGGCACGCTTTTTGGTCTGTTTTTTTCATATTAAATATACAAACAAGGTAGTTAGGTTGATTTGTACCTGAGTACGTGCACGGTACACAGTCACACAGAAGGAAAATAAAATAAATAAATAAAGGAACTCAAGAAGAAAGCCGACTACTTTTCTGATGAAGTTTAACGAACCTAAACAAAATGAACATACAAATATTAGAAATTGCAGGGTTTATTTTGAAAGGAATTACTTTTTAATTAAGGATTAATATACAATTTAATTCTATTCGTCAAATATACTATCTTAGTAGCGCTTGTTGAAAATTTTTGAATTCAAAACTTTCAACATGTTTTCGAAAACATACCAAAATTTTCTTAATTGAGTCAATCGAACAAATATGAGTAAAAATTATTATTGTTGTTTGTTTTATTATTAACAAAGTATTTAATTTATTAGGTGAATGAAAAATAAGTTTGGCACCATTTGGATGGTAAGTCCAATTATTGCAGGCAATATGTTTCCGCCAATTTTTCACAGTTGCAGGCGGAATTAATTTAAAATGTTCTCAATGAATTCAACCCTTTTTTATTAACAAGTGTTTTTACGCATCACAATCGAGAAGTTGACTTTCAAAATCGGGAAATCAAAACCAAAAGTATTCTTTAATTATCTTTTTGAATATGACTAAATAAATAAATAAATAAACTTTAGCCTTTAGCATGCAACCTTTGACCCAGAATGGATTTTACACAATCCCTGAAAAATCAAAATTCGTTGCTTTGTGATGACAAACCAAACAATTGAAGCTACATAAATGTATTTGCTCAGTAGAAAACTTGAGATATTTGGTATGATGCAGGCTGGCAATGATACAATTACTCGCAAGCAGTGTGTTGAAGAGGTGGAGGGGGGGGGGGGGGGGGGGGGTGACTCAGTATCTGTGGTCGACCACATGCACTTTAGGGTATGCAACGGCACGTAGCAGGATGCGAGTAAATTATGCATGCAGCTTCAAGTGCAATAAAACAGAATTTAATGGGAATTTAATGTTGAAAACATTATCAGGCTCTCTGCATTTGCTAAAGTGTAGATGCGACAAACAAACGCGCTCAGCCCAGCAAATAAGTATGCGCTCGCATGAGATGTGTGGGCGTGGGGTTATGGGAGCGTGTGAGCATTTGACAATTGTCGAATCAGGCCATTTTTTGTAGGCTTGTGAGTCGCGTCTGCTGGATGCGGCTAACTTAAGCTCTGCTCTTTGCCGTTTTACCAGCTAAATTAGTGACACGCTCCCGAAGAGCATCGGCAAATGCATGAAATTCGTTAATGCATGCATGTGTGCATGCGTGCATGTTGTGTGAGAGTACATGTGTGTGTATGCTTGTCGGTGATGCGTGTTGGGTATTATTCCGTGAACCCTTTCTCATGGGCACCGTGTTGCCACCAAGCCCAGCACTTGAAGGTTTTGCTCTTATCGCCCGCTGTCCACGCAGAGACTCGATAAACAACACCAGGCCAGAACATGGCGAGACGGGTGTGGCACCCGCCGTCATTTGCACAAATGCGCATCATCATTTAGATTGTTCCGCTGGAGTCGAAATGCAACAATAGCATGAACCACATAGCTCGGACACTACACTCAAGCCTGCACACCCTCACTTTTACCGCACACACGCAAACACACTCACACTATCTCTATCTCTCTCTCTCTCTCTTGCTCTCACACAGCATTCAGTCCAGTCCAGAACGGACCGGACCGGGCCGGGCCGGGCCGGACCGGACATGGCCGAGACTCACCACGATTGCAGCAATTGGAAGCTGTCGCGTTTTGTTCATCTCTCCTGGTGACTGCAGTTGGGATTGCAATGCAACAGCAGCCACTTTGGCATTTTCAATAGCATGCATTTATGCAAATTCAATGCCAACTGCATCCCCGAATGCAGACTAGTACGTCTGTACTCTGTGTATGTATGCATATGCATGAGCATGTATGTGTATGTATGTGTATATATATTTATCTATATATTGAATGTATAGCTATATAATCTGATTGTGTTGACCATGACACTGATATTCGGAATCATATTCAAAAAGCAACTGCGCATTCTCAAAACAATATTCTTTAATTTTTCATATTTAACAAGGAATAAATGTAGAACTCAGCTATCTTTTTTGAAAAATGTTGGAATCAAAGTCTTTATCAAGTTCTAGAACCGTGGTGTGCACTTCAAACAACCTTGAAACAACCTTCATCGGAGCCTTTGTTTTATTCAATTGGTCAATTGGTCTTCTGTTTTATTGGAAACTGCAGTTCAAATGTAAGCCCTATGAATTTGAATTAACAGGTGAATTGTTTAATGTTTCGGGAACGCAATTCGAAAACCTTAAATCTGTCACCGACGAATTTTCGAAGAAATTTTCAAGCTAATCCCAAAACTCCTAGGGAAGTGTGTGTCCTTACACGATCTATACTCACTTTGGTTTGTAACCAGATCGGAAAAGGATAATCCGATATGTTATTTGGATCAACGAGGATCCTTTGTTAAAAAAATACCCGTCTTATCCCTATCGCCAATCTGACTGTTATGTCTGAACGAGCTCATTTATGTTATGTCTATTAAATCTGGGGATTTTAAGTTTAAATAGACTCCTGTATATTGGCGTCAGACCAAGTATTTTTTACGCACATTAGAGGGAAATCCATGAAAGTCTAGTATTGCAGGTGGACCACAGATAAGATCCTCCAAAGATGTAACAAAAAAATTGCGACCACGCCCACTCATGTTTCCTAAAGCCAGACTTTAAAAGTTCCTACTGGGCTGTTACAGTTTTAAAGTCAACAATCTTACTTTCATACTGCGAACAGAGTATTGCGCAACTCTTTTACTTATTTCTTGTGTGATCTATAGATTTAGCTTGAATAATGTCCGATTTATGGGAAACCCTGAAAAAAATGTTGACCGGGGCGTGCTATAGGAAATATATCAAGTCGATTGCTCTTATAATTTCTGAGATCAACTCGTTCAAGCAGACGGACGGACAGGGTTAATTTTGAATGATATATACCTTATTCTTTTTAAATCATTTTCAGTGTGTACGGGGTACGAAAATACGAGTTTTAAAAGTATTAAATTCACCCCATTTTTAAGAATCTTGAATGAACATGTATATATATATATATATATATATATAATTTATATTGTTTGTGAGATGTCGGCTTCTGTTTGTTTCATTCATTTCATTATGGTCTACTCATTAGTATGTACAGAGTATACAATTTTGGTACATTTCTCATTAGTTGTTCGTAACACCTCATTACTTAGGTTTAATTTACTGAATTAATGTTGATTTCGTTCATTAATATTAATTTATATTTTAAATTTTTTGTTTTTATAGGAAGACATTTTTGTATTGCATAATTCATTTTATAACTTTTGATTACTTTAATTATCTAATGTGAGCAAATAAGCTCAGTATAATGCCTTATATATAAAATTGTTCGTTAACATTCATTTTCTTGTTGTGTAAAATTATTGTGTTGTTTTTATTGTAAGCATGGGGGTTTGTTTCATTGTTATTGATTTCAATGGACTTTGAACTATTCTTAAAGGGGTCACATTATGTTTATGCATATAATTATATATATATGTATATATATAAATTTTCTTATATGTATGCATTCATCAATATAATTTAAATAGCAACCAGTTTTAATTATTTCGCGTTCATTATTAATATACAATACGTTTTCGCAATTTACCCAAATATATTCCGTACAAACTATATACTAAAATAATTAGACAGTGCGAATCTTCCACATTATTCCAGCTGTATGCAAAAATGCATTTCGAGCCTTTCGTTTTGCTGTTTCTTCATGCAATTCGCAACAAGTTAAAGCTTCGATCAACTGGCAACTCTTAGAGTTAATAGCAACTTTTGCTTATGATAAGATTTTGAAATTGATATACGATTAATCTCCACTTATTTATGTATTAGGCTAGCGGACCAGCTTACAAACTTTAGTTTAATACTAAAAGAGGTCACTAAAATAATAGATATGTATAATCGAAAAGAGCATGAAATAAATATACTATGTTATATGCTTATAAACAATTTTGTTAAATAATTGTATTTAGTTATTTCATTATTATTCTGATTAGATTAGATATTGTCTGAATCTTTCACTTCATGAGCTTAAATAGCAAACTTACATTTCTCGTAAAGTATTAGAAGTAGAGTATTTTTTTTTAAACTCATTTTAGAAACTTTAATGATCCTAACTTCTTGAAAAAAAAAAATTGAGCCCTTTTGCTTATGCTTTTATTTAATGCAGTCTGATATATATATTTGTGTTTCAGTTGATTTCATATGTTGTGGTAAAATCATAAATATTAAATTTGATTAATTGAAAAAAAAAACTTCTCAAAAATGATATACATACATGTTTTATTATTACATATATATATAGTTTAATATGTCTTATATGCAAGAACAAGCTTAAGCAAAACAATGAAGTATGCATATCATTTGTGATCGTATTTTTGTTTTTTCTCGAATATATTGAAGAACTATTTTTGGTTCGTTATGTGCTTTACTTAATTTTGTCAATATAGTACTTAGCACTATTAAAATCTTAGATGTGTACGTAGATAGGTTCATAACTGTGCTAGCGCAAGTAAAGTTTAGCATTGCTGGCTATGAAATGACTAGACAATTGAAAACCTTTTGAAATCGTCCAACTCGAACTCGAACTCGAACTCCTCCTGTTTGTGCTGCAAAGCCAATATTCTGCAGTGTTCGTATTGCGGCACTGGCGCGCACGCTTTTTTGCCTGGATGCCGCTTGTTACAGTCTGGCGTGGATTTCGTTGGAAGCATAATTTTAAATGAGCTTAACTAAATACATGGACAATATGCAAAAAAGAGCCACCAGGGCATTAGTCGTTATCGTGGCTGTGCCAAGCAGCTGTGACCCCGCACTTGGAAACATCCAAGGCGGACTAGGTGACGGTACTGCACCCGGCGACTTATATGTTTTTTCGTATCCGTTGCGTGCTGGAAGTTGCGTATGTACTGCAAAAACATGTTTAAGCCAAAGTTTTAGTGTTTAAAAGTGTTTTAACAATATTTTATGGTTTTTTGGTTGTCCCATTATTTTATATCTATATTTTAAGATACTGATATTCAGATATCAATCGGCCTTATACATGTTCCTATCCTCCAATAATACATATAATTTAATCGAAATAATCTTAAATTATTTGTAGCTATAAGTCTAGTTATAAGCTTAGTTTGCAAGTCACTTTTGCAGTAGCTTGGCCTAAAACTATATATCTGCGCCTGTTCAGTTTCGGTTGCCGCTGGTCAATTCCGCTTGTACACTGATGGGGGGAAGGGAGGGGGCTTTGAACAAGGACAGAAACGAAATTGAAACTGACTGCCGGAAAATTAACTTCAAAAGAGATTTGGAAAGTACCGAGAGTTTTACCAAAATACAGTTTCACTGATAAATCAGTGCACTCGACAGCTGCACGAGTGCTAAGTCCTGGTGACTACTACAGTCGTTGAGCTGGCTAGAGAAATGGGTGGCAGTAAGTCCGTAGTCGTTGAAGGGGGTCACGTACTCTTGAAAGGGCTGCTGGGACTGCTACTGCTACTGCTACTGCAACTGCATGGGAGAGCGAGTATGTTGCGGTTTGTTGTCCGTTGTACTTTTGGTTGCTAGTTTCGAAGGAAGCAAAGATCGAAGAAGTAAAGGCACCAAGCCGCCAAGAGTTTCTTAAAAGGGCAGCCCTGGTGCAGCGACATTATATTTGTCCAAGTCATGGTCCCTTGGTGGAGAAGTGCCCCATGGCTGGTGGCTTCGGCATCGGCATCGCATGTGCATGCAAGCCGAGTATCCTGGTCCGGTGGATGTGAATGTGGATGTGAGTGTTTGTAACTGCCGCTTATGCCTGACTTCATTCTATGCTTGCTCTATGCAGCAGCATGTATTTGTGGAATTTTCTAAATCGTAACTTACCTTCCGCTCCGTTTATCATGCCGTTGACGTTTCCACTTGCCACAATACCACCGGCACCACCGCCGTTGGCGCTCTGGGGCACACCAATCCCGCTGCCGAATACATCGTTCTCTTGCTGCATTTGATTTGAGAAATGGGTTTCCTTGGCACGCACCACTTCGTTCAGTCCCTTGTTGTGGCTGGGCTGCTGCTGCTTCCGACGCGGCTTGGCCGTTGTATAAACGTGAGGTGTTGCTGTCGTTGTGGACTTGGGCGGTAATCGTAATTCTGCAAGAAATTGCACCAATTATGAAATGCCGAATGCCTCTATGCATGGCTAGACCGGGAAGGGGAAAGGGGAAAGCAAAACAAATGGGGTGGCAGACAATCCTTAAAAATAAACACTGGGCCAACAACAATTGCAAATACAAACCACCTAACGCTAGGGCTTTAACATTGCTCTACCGCTTTTATACCCTGTACTCATAGAAAATTATCAAATAAGGGTATAATGTTTTAGTGCAATTGTATGTCTAGCAGGCTTAAAGAGCAAGTGACACCAAATCTTTTAACGAGTGTCCTATTTCTATCATAGTTGAAAAAAAATCAGAATTGAGAAAAATGGAAGCACAGCTCTTAGTCGTGCACTCTCGCCTAGTATTTAGTTATATGTATTAACTTTTAATATCTACTATAGACCAAAAAATGTCAGAGTATAATTAAGCTCTTCAAATTGATATAGGCAAAAATGTCTCCGACTCCGACTTTTAGATAAAACTTGGACCCTTGAATCTATCGATTCGGAAGAAGTCAAGCACAACAAAATTAACTCTATTAGGAACAATAAGCAATGTGTGTGTGTGTGTGCTTGATGATATGTTAAACATTTAACCACAATTGTTTCTTTAGTGAATCCTTTAAGTGAAAATTAAAATTGCGCCCACCAGCTGAATGCAGCCCTGGTGGCAATGCGAGCAGAGAAAGTTTTCCGCTGATTGTGCAATAATTCATGCTTAGTTTTAGTGCTCCAACTCCAGTTTAGGTTGGCGAACGGGAGACTGGGAATGTGGGCGGGGCCGACTGCGCAGATGAAAGATAGAGAAATGCTTCAGTCGTCTTTAAATGAGATCGATAAAAATAATAGACCGACGAAAATCCTAGGTGATTTATTGCACGGAAACTGAACGAATTACACATGCGATGAAGACGCACACACACACACACACACGCACACACACACAAATACACGCACCCGTTCATTCTCAACTAAATTGATGGTTTCGAATTGTTCGAACTACTTGGCTTAGCCTGGGCCCACGGCCGAGTTGCTAAAGGAAAAAAACTGCATGTGGACAGCATTCAACTTGATATTAGCTTCATTTTATCTTACCTTGCAGTCGAATTCGCGTCTCACTCTTTCCAAGGGCATTCACACTGGAACAGCTGTAAGCGCCAAAGTCAGACTTTGTCAGGTGTCGTATCGTCAAATTGAGGTGCCACGTGTACAGGTTAATCATGGCCTCGGATATGTTGTACTTGTTGCTATTATGCAGCTTAACATTACCTACAAGTTAAGGATATCATATTAATTAGAAATCATGGAGTCGAAATTGTTTGTGTATTTCGCGCTAGCTCCAAACACGCCTCCACCCTTTACCACACACAATATATATTCACTTAATATTACAAAGAAAATTAAAAACCTTAATGTTCACACAGATCATACCCCGTTTCTTACACACAGAGCATTTAAAACATAAAACATTTTATGCCTTCATTCCCCTTGTTGCGGTTCAATAAAAGAAAACAAATAACGCTGGAAGCTAGCTATGAAAATCATTACTGCTCTTGCTGCTGATATTTTAATTTAAATAAATTGTTTCGCCTCACTTTAACAAGAGAAACAAGAGTGCTCTAGTCGGGAGTGCACGACTTGGCGATACCCTAAACTTTAATAAATTTCTAACACAGCTCTGTAAGCTCACATTTTGAACAGGAAAATGCACTTGTGGACTTTCTTATTTATTTAATGAGTCTCGGAATTTATTTAGTCTTATTTAAAATAAATTGAAAAAAAAAAGAATTCCCCCTGCCAACCAGGCATTGGAGTTTTCCAATTGGGACGTGACTTTTTTAAAATTCTTTTTTAAACTTCTTCCTCAGACCGTTAGTCCGTAAAGACAGATTATTATTGAAAACTATAAGAAAACGCATATATATATATATATAGTATGTGTATTTATAATGTATTTAAATAGTATAAATAATGTTACCTTCATTACGGTACCAGCCATTAAGCGGCTTCGGATAAACTTCCACTATGCATTCCAATATAACTTCTCGTTCAACCGGCGCTCCTACTAACTGATTAACAGCTTTAATAGTTGGAGGAACTGAAAATTAAAAATTGTTGTGAATATATTGTTAAACAAGAGAGTTGTTGCCGAAGCTGTTCGACTAGAAAATATCCTAAGCTAAACATTTTTAAGGTATCCAACTCAAGGCGTCCTTACTGACAGATATACATCTATTTATACAGGATCATTATAATAGCGTATAAATACGCTCAATCCAAGAACAATTTTTAAGAATGTCATAATGGTCTTGCAAAAATATATCAGCCTCTCGATCTCAGAACTCATAAGAATTATGAACTTGAAATTTTCAACGTAGACAAACGCAGAGTCGAGCAAGAAAGAGGTTCTAGTCGGGAGCTCCTGACTAGGGGATACCCTGAACCCTCTTCTTCCAACATCAAACGCATATATATATATATTCTATTTTAAAAGCTATATGTCATGTTTGGTGACTCTAGCTCTTATTATTTACCAAAATTGCCCAAAACAGGATATCTATATCGATTTTTATGGATTGCTTGGAAGCGGAGCAAGTTATCGATTATCGGAAACAAACTTGATCTACATCTAAAAGTTAAGTCTCTAGCTTTTATAGGTTCTAAGATCCTTGCGTTCATACATACGGACGGACGGACGGACATGGCTAGATCGACTCGGCTATTGATGCTGATCGAGAATATATATAATTTATGGGGTCGGAGATGCTTCCTTCTGCCTGTTACATATATTTAGATTTTGCACAAATACAATATACCCTTATACCCATTTTGAATGGGTTCAGGGTATAAAAATATATATATTTTCATATATATGTATATCTATATCTCTTCCCATTTCTAAAATAGTCGAGTTCCTGTACCCGCAGTTAATATTATATTTTGGCTTTTAACACAACCCTTTAAATTCTTCAAATCATAATTCCAGAAAGTTAATGCAGGTACTTATGATGCATTTATGCAACACACACAAACTGATGTGCGGCCAATTGCGTAACAAATGGCGATGCCACAGAATTGAAAATTTAATGTTAATGATAATAAAAATGAGTTCAAAGGGCATAATTATTAAGTGTGTTCGTGTGTGTGTGTGTATGTACCTAATCGCAAATGAGATTTGTGAAATTTTTGGGGAGCTTCGAGAGCCTACAACCCAAATTAACACAGAGTTTTCCATAGGCTATCATTTGTATTTAAAAATCAAGCATTCAATTCGAATTTTATTGATATTTCGGAAATGTAAGGAATGACGGGATATGTACGAGAGCCAACACACCAAATTGATGCCAAATTTTACTAGACTTTCAGTGATACTTCAGGAATTATATTTTGGAAACGGGACGAGATAAATCTAAATTGACTCAGTTAGAGTATTTTGTTGTATGGTATTTACAGCTTAAAAATAGTTCACCTTTTGGATACCTCTCCGTATGTATAGAAGAAAGAGTATCTGCTAGTCGGGCTCTCACAGTTCTTTATGTTGTAATTAAAGCACGTAAAAATAAATGCATTTTACCAATCGATTAGCTTAAATAGCAACATTAGTTCGTATGAAAATTGCCAAATTGAGTTGATGTCTATATGCTTTAATTTGGATTAAACAATCTTAGATGATTCAAAACAATTTCCATAAAACTAGCATCAAATGTATTTATATGTCGGTACGTTAAAATGATACATTTTATATGTTTACTCTTTGTACTTTTCCCGGCAGATTACACTGGCTGGGGTAAGCCAAAGAAGAAGCGCGGGTGTGCTTTGGTCGGGTGCGTGAGTCGCAGGCTAAGTCTGCGGAAAATGGTTGGGTGGTGTTTTCATAGGATTACTCTCTGCTAGTTGTATGGGTGCCACCCGAGTGTACTATGTGTGTGTGTGTGTATGTGTGTGTGTGGGAAAGAGAATGACAACTGTAATGTTCTGTTTCAATGTAGCAAAAGCTCTTGCTATTTTTCCTTTCGCTGGATGATGTTTTGCTATAAGGGGTTTGTGTTGTTGTTGCTGCTGAAGGATAATTTTAAGCCATAAATAAAATGGATTAAAGCCCACTGATCCGCTCATCAAAAAAGATTTTACCCTTTGTAGCACTAAGACATTATTAAAGATTTTCTTCAAAATCGATAATAACAGCCCTTTCTACAGTGAATTTACGTTAGTTTAGTTTGCAATTTTCGTTTTAGCTTTTACTTTCACAAAGTGAAATACTAAGGGAATTGAGAAAAAGTCAGCTTTCTCGCCATATACGAAATACGCAATATACATATACTTATAAGAAAAGTATGAACGCTACAGTTTTTCATATATTTTCTTTTTTATTGCCTTTCACGCTACGACTCCAACTTCAATTGAGTTGGGTGCTCATTTGGCGCAAGTCCTCGCAACAACAAAAACACTGAAAGATTTCTTGCGAAATTGAGGGCCTGCCTTAGTCTTGGAAAAGGGTTGAAAACGACATTATTATTATTCGATTATTATTCGATATTTGGCTTTTTTTTGATATATGTTGAAGTGCTAGAGCTGCAGCAATGCTTATTCTACAGATGCTAAGACAGGAAAGCATGATTTACATAGCGAATTCTACACACCCTCTATTGAAAATTGAAAATTTTAGGTATGGTTTCGTTTGCCCAAATCTTTGACGCATTTAAATAGATTTTTCTCTAATTAACAGGTAAAGCAACTATACATATCGAATATGTTAACATGTGAACAAAGGGAATTTCTTTCGCTGTTTGTTTTGCAATTTGTTAAATATTAAATTAGTGTCAAGTTTAATCAAAACATCTTGATAAATAACAACGTTTTTCATACAACAGCTTAATTTTTGATTGATCGTTCCTACGGCAGCTATATGTCATAGAGGTCTGATCCAGTCCCGACATATATACATGTATCCGACATACTATATACAAAATTTAATGACAATAGCTTTAAAACTGGGAGACTAGTTCGCATAGAAACAGACGGACGGACAGACGGACATGACTACATCAACTGGGCTCTGAGTTGTCTTCTTCTATGTGTTGCACATTTCGAGACAAAATGATAGTACTCTCTGCAAGGGTATAAAGAGGAATAAATGGGGGCATAAGCTGTCCTCCGGCAGCTATATTTGCATATTTTTGATTATGAAGCTTAAATTGAAATCCTTATTTGTTTAATATCAATACTAAATTGGTTCTAATTTAAACAACAATTCTTTACTGTGTGGTCATTAAAATGTATAAAGCAGACAATGCATCAGCAGTTGGGCCTCTGTATGCTAGTTGAAATTCGGAGCTGTATTTTCCTGTGCTTGACATAGACACATTGCCCAAAATTGTAGTTTTATTTCCCTGCACTGCCGGATTGCCCAGTCTCTCACAATTATGGAGTTGTTATTTTCAAATGTTTACTACTGGCTCATACTAGCACAAGGATCCGATGCAGTGCACAGTGTGTACATACGTGAGCACTGTTATATGTAAATGTATGTACTTCAAATGGCATACATACATACATATACATGCGCGTATGCATATACATATAATTTCTATAACACATTCTCGCTACTACATACACATACGCACACATTTGAAGTAAACAGAATAATAGCTCATGACAATAGTTCAATGTGTGCTGCCCGCAGTCCTGCCAATGCAGCTAAATTTGGCTAAATTTCCAGTTGCCAGAGGTTCTGGCTATTTTTAAAAAGATTTCTTAGGCAGTTTTATAATATCTTCGGCAGGGTTGGATGGATAATTGAAGCCTCAAGCACTGCATTGAAAAAGGAATGCCCGATATTAAAAAAACATTTTGTACCTTCTGCAAATCTACTCGTACAAAACAAAATCTAACTGGACACAAACAGGACAAGGTATGTTTTGAATGAATTGCCAAAAATAAGCAAGTGAACCTTTCCGGCTGTTTCTAAAGAAACTGCTCAAATGAAGGCATCGCCTGCCTTGGATGTTCCTTGCTAATTTATTTCAGCTCCTTGTATACCTTGGGCCATACATTTAGCTACATTTTTGAGCTGAAAGTTGGCAACACTGGCTGCCAGCTTCATTGCTGCACTTCACGTTACGAGTAGTTATTACAATAGGACGCAGCACATACTGTTTCTTGTAGTTATGTACATTTGATACGCCCTGCTTGAAACACGAAGTGCGACTATCGCAACTTTCTACAACTGGTACTCTCTGATTTTGACTTGACAATCTCATGGTGTTGATTTGTGTCTAGTGCCACACCAACAGCATGTTTAAGGATCTGGAACGGTCGCTATAAAGGAAAATTGCACAGCAAAACTTTCTTGTTTCAGCCAAAGTCACACACAAATCTTAAATATTTTAACACACATTTTTACGTAAAAGCAAAAGGTTTCAATGCCAAAACAAAAGCCCTAAGCCGTAGATATCTGTCAGATACATTCAGCCAAAGCCAAAACGAAGGCGTTGACAGTCGAATTTCCGCATGTATCTAAGCATTTACATATGTGATCCTACACTTGATGGACCGTTCACCAGGTTCCATCCATCTTCCTATCAAATAATGTACAGGTTCATAAAATACAACAAGAAAGTTACATACGGTTATCCGAAAATTAAATACCCTTTGCAAGGTTTGTGATATATATCCAAAGTTATACGAAAAGTACATATGGCTTTTCTGCAAGCTTAATCATATACTATTTCAATATTTTTTAAAGTAAATATTTCCTTTAATTGACGACAATTGTTGATATATCTATTGGCTTTTCATTGGTTGACATTTTTTGATAATATAATATTTATTAATTCCTTAAAGCATATTTTTCTCTATGAAGATAACTTAATAATTGTCCATTAAGCCCAAGATAGGGGCGGGAGAAAGTCGGGAAGATCTATCTTTTCTACGGTCAAAGGAGTATTACGAATGTAAAGGAGTATTAGGCCGTCGGCATTCTTACATATTGTGTTCTATATTTTATCAAGATCTCTTTAATTTGGAACTCAAATCTTTGCTAAGCTATCTTTACGCATAATTAAAAATATTTATATTCAAATTTATAACCAATTGTTAGGAACTTACAATTTACGTGAACATCAAAACGTTTGCTTACTGAGGGTGGGACACCATTAGATGCTATGCAAAGGTAGCCACCCATATCGGAACGGTGGACATTTGTGAGAGTCAGTCGCTCGCCTTCCACCGACTTGAATGCTGAAATAACAAGAAAGTTGTAGTATCTTAATTGATGTTTGATAAAGTCCTTATTACAGTGACATATTTAATATATTACTAATATTTGCAGTATATGTGTACATACATACAGTTGTGCTTCTTAGGTATCTGTCTGTTCAGTAATATCGACTTATTTCTGATAACAGATTATCTAAGAAGCCATATGATGTTAGGATATTAAGATATGCACCTTGCTTGTCTCTACTCTCCGATCTTATTATAATGTCCTTTCCGCCTTCACGTCGCCACTGGACCATAGGTTCTGGTACACCTATTTGATAATATAATAAGTAAATGAGTAGCGTAAATGGATAATTTTTAAAAAAAAGGCTATCTTCGGCACGCCGAAAACAATATATACCACTCTGCAGACATATTGCCGATAGTTGAGTTTTGTTTATAGAACTCTTTTTCTCAAAATAATAAGCACGTTTGAATGACTTTTGTGTTTCTTAGCCGATCTTGATGATATTTTCGATAGTAGATCGTATTGTGCTATAGAAAATTCTCAAAAAACATATATTTTCTTTTACTTTGACTGATTTTTAGTAAGGGGTTGAAATATACTTGATCTCTATCGCCAAACAAATTGCCATCGAACTTAACTAACTCACTGTCCAAAACTTCAACGTCAATTTCGGCATTTATTCTGGTTGGGATTAAGCATATAATAATATATATGTACTTTATGGGTTCTCGACTTAAGACTGAAAGTTCACTCATCGATTTAGGGAAGACGGCAGCTATTGGCAAAAGTTCTTGCATGTGTACGTATAGATATTTTTGTTTTATATACGTTGTACATATATGAGTAGAAGTTAATAAAATCTTTAATTTAAAATGAAAAAAGAAAATTGTGAATACCTGTTGCACTGCACTGAAGCGCGATACTGCCGCCTTCTGTGCTAACACCTTCATCAATATTTTCGTCGGGATGGTAGAGAATGTCAGGTGGAACCACGACATCTAAATAGCCAGACTGTAAAAAGACAATGCATATTATTCTGATTAGAAATATTTGATCATATATTGAATAAAACAAGAGACAGGTAACAAACTGAATAATACTCTCCAGAATATACTGCCAAATTGGCCTACAATATTGATATTTCCGATTAATTAAGCGCCCAATAACTGTATTTGCTAACACTTTATCTCATGCGGTAAAACACGGTAACATTTAGTTTCTCTTTTGCTTACATTCCAAATTTGAAGTCTATAGTTTCTGATAATGTCGAGTTTAAAATACGGACAGACGGAGTCAAGAACGCTTTTGTTGATATCAATATTTAATAACGAAAGCCTTGAAACTAAAGGCAAGGCTCGCCCTCAACACTTGCAAAGTGGCCCACACATTTTCGACCCAGTGCCTACCTGTGGCAAAGCCTTATTTTAGAGCTCACACATAAGCTCGGACTGAGACGCATATGGCTATAAGATTACCGAGTCTGCCAAACACCTAACGCTTGGAAATTGAATGGATGACCGCTGCTGGGTCAGGGGCAGCGCTGTGGTTGACTTACCAGACTTTTCATGGGATCTGTATTCACTTGACACATGTAGCTGCCAGAATCATTTAGCTGCACGTGGGATATGTGAAGTTTCCAGGTGTTGTGTCCATTGTGTGTCACTGATAATCTTGGATTTAGGGATACCATATGTGTATGTATACCAAGTATTGCTTTTGAATCTGATTTAATCCATGCCACCTGAAATTGCCAAAGCAAAGGGAGACACACCATCGTTGGTCAGCCTTATAAGTTTACTTCTGCCAAGTTTACCAACAACCAACCCCCCCATAAACTTACTTGCATTCACATGCACAGACATACATACAGACATACATAGCACAATACTCTGCTCTTGTGGGCCTTAACATATTTAATTGTATACTTACGCAGAAGTACATGCGAATAACATAAAATATATTTGTATAGATGGGCAACGCGACCAAGTTTGCGCAAATGCGGTTTAATGGCTTATGGAGTAAACCAGGTTGACTTGCAAGAAAGTTACCATCGCTATTTCATAAGCTGGACTTTTGTAAATGGGCTGCTCTTTTTATACCCTATACCCATTCGAAATAAACACACAATCCCGCAAGGCGCAGTCTGCTTCAGCTGTGCTGCTTCTTGATTAACGTGGGAATGGGGAAAGTATCTCAGTACTTTCTGCTCTTTTAATCTACGCCGGGATATGGCGATGATATTGATCTAACTTACTCAAATTACACTCTTTTATTGTATATAAAGTCGGAGTCTGCCAAATCGGATCACTATTTCCAAATTATAGCCGACAATAATTATTAATAAGATCCCTACGAGATGTGCTGTTCTTCTTACAAATTAGTAAAATCTTGGGAGTAATATTTTTGAATAGAATCCTTTTCGCAGGACCTCAGATAATCTTTCTATTTTATTTTGCTTAGCGTAAATAGCAGCAGAGCTAAATGCAAGAAACAAAACAATGAATGCTAACCATAGCTATAGGTCGTAAAACCTTTATTTTGATTATTTGAATAAAAATAAACGTTGAAGTTAGGTTTCGCTGAAACAAATTTTTTGCGGTTTTTTGTAAATATCAATGCAAAAATTCTTTCTTTTGACATTGCGTTAAGTGCAGAGTATTTATGAACAGGTGAAATATCAATTTTATATAAAAAGCCAATTTTCGTTAGTACTTAATATAATTTTTAATAAATTGAATTGTTCATTTGAATAATTTTGGAAATGTGGTAAAGCAAGTTATACTTCTGGAAAACCAGATTTACGAAATGTGCCTGAACGTTAGAACGTCGAACTGTGAATCAAACACCCGAATATTCACAGGATTTTATTCTTGATTTTACAATTTGATTTTCGATACAATATTTTGTTTTTTGGGTAAATTAGTAGGCTGCCTTTTAGTGCAGTTACAAGAACTCATAGTCTTACAATAGTAAAATAAAAGCAAAACGCGTTTAATGGAAGTTATAATGTTTTAGAAGGAGCTAACTCTAACTAAGGTTTATCAGATTGTAAATACAACACATCGGTAAAAAAAAAAAAAAAAAAATATTGATGATGCCTCTCAATTTTCAACATTGGACATTTCTATCAATGAATTCTATGTTATGAACATTATCTAAACATTTTATTTATTCGTTAATAGCTTGAGGTTCTATGTCTGTAAACATGGCATCAAATGTTTCAAATAATAACATACCCGATATTGTCCCAGGTTGTCGACAACGCAGGTGAATGATATGTCACGTCCTTGTGGTACGGTAATATTTGTTAGTTGTGCCAAAAAGTGCGGTCCCACTTCATCAGGTTCGCTTTGACCTATTATTTCACATGAAATACAATAAAAAAAAATAAGTTAAAGTAAAATGTATGTGAGCACAGGTATACAGGTGTGACTTTTATAATTAAACATCTTTTTTATAGCATAGTAATAAAGAATATAAAGAAAGGAAAAGTGTAATAAGCAAATGTAAAAAGCACCACATGGTTATTTATACTCACTAACAAAGGGAGCAGAAGATGTAACAATTTTGCGAAAAAGAATTAGAAAAGAGGTAAGTGTGCTTTAGTGGGGAGTGCCATACTTGGAGATTCCCTAGACTCTGCTTCCCCCTGCATATGCATGCACAAAATTATTCGGTGTTTATTGTCCGAAAAATGTACTTTTTTAATTTTTCTTTTTTGGAGGAGCTATACAAAAAGTAAAATATTCTGAATCTGTGTACAGTATACGAAAGTCAACATACTAATATTTGGTATTAAGTGCTCTGAGGTATACTTAAAAGCAAGATTTAGGATGTTCATTCTTATTGATTTCATCGAAACGGGGAAACTTTATCGGTTATATAACCCACATAGGCAGGCACTAGAAGGACCTGAATTTACGATCAATAGTACTCAAAGATTCTGATGTCGATGTGCTCACATAATCAGACGGGCAGGCAGACGGACATCGCCGGATCAACTCTGCTAGGTTTGGAGATGCCCAAGAGCATTTTATTTTTTAAATTCATTTTCAAAAAGCAAAAAACTTAAGACTTTCCCCAAAAAAAGGTTTTGATATCCCGAAATTGTGAAATAATTAATATTGCCAGAAAAAAGTCAAGAACAAATTTCATTACTAAATGAAAAGTCATAATTATGCCAATGGCCCGAACTTACCTTGTATATTTGATAACGAATGACTTCCTTCTGTGCACAATAATCCGGTGAGTAACAAAAGTATGACGGAGGCTAAGGTCCTCACGCAGAATTGTGTCTGAGTCATTGGGGCAGTCTTCATTTTAATCTCAGGCTTCTGATCGTCAAAGGATCTTCAGGTACTTCCAATAACTTACTATCTTATAAAATATTAATAAAAATCTCGCTATTCGAGCTGATCCCTTGCTGGCGATATTCGTTTACTTATTCCATAGAATCATTTCCATTGCCAAGTATTGTCTTTGTTAACAATTCATCACTTAAAGTACATTCCAAAAAAAAAAGTATTCTGAAAAGCAGCAAGAAAAACAGTTGTATTTAATTAAACATGCATTTCCTGATGTTGTCCTAGTTCATATATATTCTGACTGTCAACGAGAAAGTATGGATATCTTTTGATAGTTGCAGATTTAATATTAACTCAGCTGTTGGTGCTGATCTAGAATATATTTACATACTTTATGGGGTCGGAGGTGCCTTCTTTTATGCGTTGCACATTTCATGACCAAATTATAATACCCTCTACAAGGGCATATAAATATAGATTAAATATATAAGGTCATCCGCCACATCAAACACCATTATGAACCACCGATATTCCTGATCAAATATGGAATAGAATAGAAATTTCACCCGCAACTGTGGAATTTTTCGAAAAATGTGAAACTATTTTCTTTATTTTTGGTTTCAAACTAATTTTCATTTATATTATTACAACGCTAGGGTTACATTTAAAATACTTGCGGGGAATAGTGAAAGGAAGCGTAAAAGTGAAATATTCTGAAAGCTTAAAATGCAATCTGACTCCACAGTTGCATTCTAACTCAAACTAAAAACCTTGATGGTGATATATAAAGTTAAAAGTATAAAGATTAGATTAATATATTTGTGCAGAGTAGATTGAAAGCTTAAACCCTTAGGAGGGTGAATGAGCTCTCCATCTTCACTGACCGTATAGTGCTTATTAAAAGGGAGACTCCACGAGAAGTATTTATTTTTCGTCAGACAGCTAATGAGGCTTCTTCATCCGGCATCCCCAAATGCAGTGGCTTAGCTAGCGGCAGCCGCAAGCAAGTCTCAACTCACGAAATTACAAGCATTGGCTGGCTAGACCATTAAGGAATAACAATGTTGCTTCCATTTGGCGGAGGAGTGCGTTAGGACTGGATCAGCAATGCCATAGTCGCTTGTATTAACGGGTGTCAGATAGTCTCGACAAACATCCACAGGCGGAGCAATCGCCGAAAGGAATGAAATGGATATATCAAATATGATCAGTATATATTATGAACAGAGATGTTCGCATACCAAAGCTCATCAAAAGCCATTCCTATTCTATGGTAAAAGGATTCCATATACAATACAATTCAACCATAATATACATTGCCTTAAGAGCTCCGGTTGGGCTTACATATTCTAGTATATTTATATGCTGTGCACTGTTAATGCAATAATTATCTTTATTTGTAAAGCTATTTTCTCAACCGAAAGGCATAAAATGAAAGGGCAAAAGGCAACCAAAGTTAAAACCAAATTCCTGTTGTGGAATGCGTCGCGCAATTCACTTTGCCAAGCGGAATTTCTTTACCAAAATTTCAAGTTGTGTACAAAAATGTGTAAAGTGGTGGAATAATACATCTAATTCAAGAAGGGTGGGCTGTGCTCACAATTAAAGAAACAATATTCTTAAATATTTAAGAATAAGACAACTTTAAACTTAAGAACATGTTTCATATTTGTTATGCGCCTTCCATTCGCTGGTCTAGCCTAAGGAGCCATAAATACTAAAGTTGGCATAAATTTGCTCGCTCTAAAGTTGTTTCGATTTTAAGCGGATAGTTAGCTGCATCATGATAAAAGTTGATGAAAACAACCTAAAAGTAAGCATATCTTTGGCACGCCAAAGATTTAATACCGTTGTGAATAGTGAAGCTTTTCATCATTTTAAGAAAACAATGCAAAAATGCAAAAAAATCAATGCCCGACTAGCAGATGCCCTACACTTTCTTCTACAGAAACACTTAACTAACATTCATAAAACTAAATCTAAGAAAAATTGAGTTCCCTCTGCCGATCTCCAGCTCGCAAATACATTCGCCAAGCAAACTAAACTCCCAGAAGGAAAAGCTTGTGGAAAAAAAAAATAAACAGAGTATGTAAGAAACAGCACATCATACAATACAATCACAATTGGAAAACTATGTTTCGTAACCAATCAGCGATCTTTTTGTGCTATCGAAAGGGTACAACTATTCAAGGGTTCGACTATTCATCCCTTTTCTAACTCTATTAATACAATTGCAGTTGATATTTTGTTATGTGCAAGTGCTACTATTTTAGCTCATTTTACTTATATATATAAATGTTTTTTTTTGTTCAAGTCAAATATGAATTTAGCGGTAACGTATAAGGCGTTGCCAACAGATCGTTAAGCGAATAGGGCACGAGTTCGAACCCATCGGGGAGGGCATTAATTTTTTTTATATGGTAGTCGTATCGCTCTACCAATAAATGTTAGAAAAAATGTGGCAATTATAGGATCTCAAGGAAGGATGATGAAGTTTATCTTAAATGTGTTCCAAGTTCATAAGTCTTTCCATACAATTTGTGACTAAAATGAATCTATAGTAATAAATAATCCATGGTGGGAATACGCATCAAAATTGAGGGCTCTAATTTGTACAAGCGATACATTATATACAAACATGGCTTTAAATATTTGTTAAAACGTGAAAGACATAGGAGTAAATAGTAAAGAAAACATACGTTATGCTCTTAAAATGTATATAATTCACAATTAAAACATTGAAAGAATATATGCGGAGGGATGGACCGATACAAATGTATAATATAATTTAACATTAAGAATTGTGGTTGAGTATTGATATATAAAGTAGGTCTGCTGAACTACATTTTTAATTATATATTTTTTGAGTATAGAGCATATGTTATCTTTAATTTGTACCCGTATGTCTTTCACATGTTAACAAATTTTTGAAGACACGTTTGTATATAATGAATCGTCTGTAAAAATCAGAGCCATCAATTTTGGTGCGAATCCGGATGCTTGTGCGTAATGGTCATTCATCAACAATTAATCGCTCAGATGAAGAGAGGGAGAGAGAGAGCGAGAGAGAGAGAGAAAAAAAAAGAGAGAGAGAGAGCGTGTTAAAATAAGGAAAAATATTCAGTTGGAATTTTTAATTCTCAACGATTTCAATCAAAGGATTTTGCAAATGACCAACCCATCTGCTTGTCGGCTGCTTGTTGGTGAAGCAATGCGATTGCATAAAATGCTTTAACCACATTTTATGTTTGCTTTTGCACACTCCGAACATCAGGCCTCGACCACAGCAACTGCCCTCCGCCCCACCCCAACCCAGCTCCGTTCGTTACTTCTGTGACATCATTGCCATCACCATAAAGTGCCTGCTGATCCATTTATTCATATTCAGTTTCAGCTAAAATCACACGAGTCTGCAGCAAACCATGTGCAATTTAAAAGGGTATACCCGAAAAGTAGTCGTCTCTAGCCATGAGTATGGTTAGCAATGCCCCAATGCAGAGTCAATGCTTACACTTATGTATGTAAGTATGTACATACATGGTGCATTCAGTTGGACATTACGCATGTGGATTTGCATGACCGGATTGCTGGTTCGGCCACTAAGAGATACAGATACAGATACAGATACAGATATGTATATATGTGTAGGCTGTGCTGGTGTTTGTGCCGGATCCGGATGCGGAATTTCGAAATTGTGCACTGTCGGGTAATTCGAAATTCCATTCGCCACAATTTTTAATCAGAAGTAACTGGTGTGGTCGAGCATTTCCGACGGCCTAAAATAAAAATTCAAATAAAAAGATTTGCGTCTGAAATCTCATTAAAAACAATTCCGTTTGTGAAAACAAACAAATAAAAACAAGTGAACGAGCAAGCAAGCAAGTAAACGCACAGAAACATGGACATATCCATCCACACGCATGGACGACGAGCGCAATGCTTGCGCTCAAGCGTAATCCCTACAGCTGTAGCACTCGGACTACCAATACCATCAGATGCCCAGATCCGCTCCGCTCTCGTCCCTCCGTTGGCAGCCACTGCCGACTGCCAACTGCCACTGCCTTGAACTTGTCAGTTCGTTCATCCAACTGATGCTTTGGTGGGCAGGCGACCAGCTTGGCATCAGCGTGCTGCTCCTGTTTGTCCATTTGATGACGAAGAGCTACCATCAATTTGCAACACTGCCACTACCACTGCCACCGCTTAGCTCCCGCCCAGGCGGCACTCGTGCTCCGCTGTTCGCCTGGCCGCTGCCCACTGCCCGCCCCCACTTTGAGTGTAAACACATAATCCATTTAAATTGTTTGTGGTTTTTCTTATTGTTTGTTTCCCTTCTTGTTTTCATTGTAGCTGCCGTTTTCGCTGCTGTCGCTGTCATTGCCGGGCAAGCTATGCGAAGGCAAATCAGGCTCATGTTCGAGGCCTACCCATTGCCTGCTTTGCCACTAGATAAAGAGAAAAGCGTTTTTAAAAAAAACCTATTATTTTTTTTTTCTGGTTTGAAGCTGTGACATTTGCTGTACTCAAAATAATGTGCATTACCATCAGTCTTTGGCTGGGCCTTGTTTGATTCCAACCGTGGGAAAATTAACGTATATCCCTGCTAGTTTGAACCCCATTCCCACATAAAGAAAATCTAGAAATTTACATTTTAAATGCTAACAAATTATTTTTTATTTATGAATACAAGCAAACTGCTGCAATCAACATATTTTTGCACTTTTCTTTGCAGTTTTGTGGATATTTTCAAATGTATTATATAATTATTTATTCAAACTTTTTTTTTTCATAAAGAACTATAAATATATTCTGGATCAGCATCAACAGCCGAGTTTATATAACCATGTCTGTCTGTTTCTGTGTGAACTCGTTTCTCAGTTTTAAAAATGTCTTCTTGAAACTTTGCCTTGAAAAAGTTTTGTCGCAGTACATATATCGGATCCGGCCGGATCGAACAACTATATCATATAGCTACCAAAGGAATGATCGACCAAAAAGTAGCTTATTGAAAGGAAAACTATTTTGTTTATGGAGGTGTCTTGACCTCACTCGCCATTTATTGGCTTAACTTTGTTCCTCATCTTTATATATTCTTGTTTCAACATCGAACCACTATATCATATATCCACATCGAAAAGTAGGTTTTTATATGGTAAAATATACGGTTTTACAAACTAATTTCATCAAACTAATCAATTTTCGAGCTTCATTATCCTTACTTA